CTGATGGAGAGAAGGAGGCCTGTGTTCAACGTGCTCCTGACAATGATGCTTTGGATGTTGCCAACAAAACCAGGATCATCTAAATTAAGTCCAGCTGGCTAATTCAAATACAAATTTTTCTCACCCAAAAAACCCAACAACCCCTTTAGTTCTGCATACTTGTGTGGCCTAGTGGGTAAGGAGTTGTGCTGCCAACCCAAAGGTAGGCAGTTCAAATCCAACAGCAGCTTCATCCATGGAAGAAAGATGGGCACTTTGGTCCCATGCGATTTACAGCCTCTGAAAACCTACTGGATGCTCAGCTCTGAGTCATTTCTGACTTGACAGATGAGCTGAATGTGCTCTGGGGACGCTGTGGTTAAGGTGTTCGGCTGTTAACCCACAGGTCAGGGTTCCAATCCACCAGTTGTTCCACAGGAGAAAGATGAGGTAGACTGCTTATGCAAAGACTTCCAGTCTCAGAAGTCCCACAGAGCAGTTCCCCTCTGCACCCCAGGGTCTCTAGGTATCACAAAGTGGCAGTGAGATTTGTGTTTAATGTGCTCTGCTCTTAACCAAAAGGTGGCAAGTTTGCGTCTACCTAGGGGCTCTCCACAAGAAAGGCTGGATGAGCTAAAAAAAAAGACAAATGAGCCTCTGGAACCCACAGGGTGCAGAGTTCTACTCTGGCAAACATGGGCACCATCAATGGGAGCCTGCATAAGTCAGAGCCCACCTGATGGCATACACGGGCACCAGGAGTTGGAGTCCACGTCTGGCACACATGGGCACAAGTTGGTGCCGTGTGATAGCAACTGGAACCTGGTTAATTGGGTTTGCTGACCTCTTGGTGGATCCAGACTGTAGTTCTTATTCAGCTCCCGACCCTGAAGCTCCTACCAATCACACGCTCCATCCATACTTCAGACAACCCCCTTCATCCTCGAAATGCACTGAAATCTGCTGAGAAGAACAGCAATGTGATGTGCTGACCAATTTTTTTCATGAAAAGAAATTATCAATACAATGCATAAAGTAACAAAAGAAAAGGTTCTACAATAATACGGTTTGTTTTAGAATTCAGATGGTTTGGATGACAAAAGCTTTTAATCTTCACTAGTTTGTGAAAACCGACATGTTTCGCCAGACACAGATCACTGAGTGGAGATGGAGTTGAATCCAAAGCCGCCGTCTCCCGAGCGAACGCCCCGCGGCTGGACTGGCTCTGTCGCACAGGGACGCTGCTGACTCGCTGAGCATCTCAACCTTTAAGGGAGGAGACTGTCCTCCTTCCTCCCGTGGAGCAGCTGGTGGATTAGAACCTCTGACCTTTCCGTCAGCAGTCACACACAAACCCCACCATGCTAGCAGGGCTCCTTTCTTACATCCGTAGATTTTAAATACGGGCTCCAAGGTCGTTCAGGCGAAGAAATAACAGTCTTCTCAACGTATGGAGCTTCGGGTATACAACCGGGAAACTCCACTCCCAGGTATATAAACCCAGAAGGAATGAAAACACGTCCACACGGGCGCTTGGAGATGAATATTCACGCGGCCTTATTCAAAACAGTGAGAAAAAGCAAAAATCCAAAACGCAGTAACATGGCTGAACTCTGAAACCACTATGCTGAGTACACCGTTTACTGAGCAACCACCACCACAGAACACAGGTGGTAGGATTTCAGGGATATGAAACGTTCGGACGAGGCAAATCCACAGCGGCCCTGGTGCCTGGTGGGGTAGTGTATTCTGTGTTGTGCTGGGAACTGAAAGGACAGTGGTTCAAATCCACCCCCAACTCTAAGGGGGAAAGGTGAGGCCATCTCCTCCACTAAGATCTACAGTCTCAGAAGCGAATGGAAGGCTCATCACGAGCTGAAATAGAGAGTGGAGGGTTTGATTTTGATCGAGAGAGGAGGGAGAGGGAGGCGGACAAGCCGGGCCTGTGGACAGGAGATGGGTTGCTCTGGGGTGGGGAGGGGGCGACACAAAGAACTGTGAGGACGGCTGTACTAACAGACAAACTGTACACGGTGGGAATAATAGCTCAGGAAAGCTGTTACACTGAAGAAAAATAGATACAACACCTTACTAGCTCTCCTTCCAGACTGTTTTCTAGGCTTTTTACTGCAAAACCAAATTCCACCACATCTACTATTTTATAATTTGTTTTCATACAAGAGACCAAGTATTTCCGATTATTTGCGGGGAACAACATTTTAACAGCCAATGGAGTGTAAAAAGCACCAGAGGCGTGGCCTTGAGGTTATGCCATTACCCACCGACTGGGCCACCAGAGCTCCCTAAAAAGGCACTGATGCCCTCTAACTGGGTATTTAAATGACTTCCTCTTTGTCATTAAGCATCTTCGTAGATAAACTGCAGGTTCTCCATTACTCTCTAATGCTGATCCTTTTAGCAGAGCTAGGGCTAAGGTTACAGACACTCTTTAGGTTTTGGATACTTTCTCATAAATCACTCTACTTCAGAAAGTAAAACCAAGTGTGTTTAGTCTTATCAAGGTCAAGCAGCCATCCCTATAAGCCTAAGAATGACACCTTTTGAAATGCAAAACTTAAAATTTGTACTGAGGTAGAACGTGTTTTCTCCTTGCTTGGAAAATGCTTATCTTCTGCAGAGCCGTTCATGCTTTTCTTACAGGTCTGTGGCACCTCTTTAAACAGGCTGCAAATGATTCCTCCTGGACTCTCCTGGCGGGCTGAACCCTGCGGTGATGTGCTGGAGCTCAACATTTCAGTTTATCAAAGAGTCTCATTTGACTGACATGCCCCCAAAGTGTCTTCTTCCCTGTCCAATCATTTTCTTGGTTTCAATTTTACAATTACTTTTTGATCTATCTGGAGTTTTCCAGGAAGACAGAAAACACGGGTCTCTATTTTTTTATCTCACGCAGTCAGGCCAATTCCATTTACGCAAGAGCCCCTTTTGTCCTTTTTACTAACAGTATGTTCTTACACGTCAGCATTTTGATGTGTATCAAATTTCGACCTGTCACTCTTAGGGTCACTGGGTTGTTGTTGACTTGATGGTACCTAACAACAACGTATCAGGAAGACAGAACAGGACCGGCAGAGCTTCGCATTCTCGGTAAGGTCACCATACCAGGAGGTGATGTCACAGCAACTAACGACTATATAGTCTTTCCTTTTTTTAAAAAAAACTAATGTCAATATATCCTTGTAGACACTTGAACTTGATTCTAGATGTCAACCTCTCACTTAGCATCCTAATCCATTATCCACTCCACACCAGGGCTCCTTAAAAACCATAAACCCAACATCAATTATTGACTTCCGTTGAGTCTGGTCCACTTGAGAGTTCCGCCCATTCTCTAATCCACACAGGAGCCTCACAGACACGCCTCCAGACCTGACCACCTGGAGCTGGGGGACATCCGTCCCGCTAGAGGGTGGCCAGGCTGCATTCTTCTACATTGTAATGACTGATAATTCTGAGTACTTTCCAGAAGCAGAGTTCAAAAATGTGCAAGCCTCGGCCCCAGAATCCCGAAAATCGGGCTACAGGTACCCCCTGGCCAAAGATACCATCTGGCCTGGGTCACAGCTGATTGGATCAAGAATGCACAACCCTGACAAAAACTCGTCAACCCAGAGGTCTAAAAGGGGTTTATATAAAGGCGTGAGGAGGGTTTATATAAAGGATGGGCCACAAAAGCAGCTCCTTGCTGGACAGGAAGTGCCTCGAGTAAGAGTCCCTCTCCTGGGGAGGCAAAGGAGCTGAGAGAACAGTGAGAAGATATGAAGAGCCAACAAGCGGCAGGCTGGCCTGTGCATGGAGACGATGCCAGGACCAGGACTACCACCTCTGCCTGAGAGCGGGGCTCCAGACCCTGCACGGGCCCTGGGGAAAGTCTGTGTGGTTTCTGCGCTTCTTTCCTCTTCAGCAAAATGAGGGTGATAAGTATAATTACAGACAGTCACAGAATAGTGAGAGATTGAGATAACAGAGGTGGAGTCTGGCAAAGGACTGGCTCTTGACGGGCTAACATGTCTGTTCTTAATAACTACTGCTCTGTTCTCAGGGTGACAAGATGTGACCACCCACCTACCGCTTAGGCCAGAAGGCAATGGTTTCTCACTGTCCTTCCTCTTCAAGGAAACCCCCACCTCCCAAGAGAACCCCTGTTCTTCCTGCACCTCCTTCACCAGGACGGCAGGGTCTCCTCACCCACCCCAGGCTCCATCACAGAGGCTTTCTGATCCCAGAGCCTTGAGCCTGGACAAACAAAAACAGTGAGAAGTGCCAGGCCCAAGCTGGTGGGGAAAGGGAAAAGGCTGGAGTGGTTCCAGAAAGTTCACGTATTTCACACACAGGAACTACTTACTGAACGCATCGACTGCCTTTGTCACGTTGCTCTGAGCCGACCTGGTTGCAAAGATAAGAAAGAAAAAGTTTTGTTTCCTCTTGAAGATTGGAAAAAGGGGAGAAATCCTCTCAGGCTTCCTTTAAGTCTCCAAGAGCTGTCTGGTCCAAGGCCCCTGCGTGCACCTGGCCCCGGGGACACACTCAGGGCCCACGGCCTCGTGCAGAGCCTGCTCAAAGCTCACCTCTCCTTCATCTCTGTGGAGTCACAGATGACCCTCCCACGGGTTTCTGAGGTTATAAATTACAGGAGACGACACTGCCCATCGTTCTCCAAGGAGCGGCTGGTGGATTCAAACCAGCGGAGAGGCCCAACCTCTGGATTAGAAGCAAAACTCACTACATGTTAGGCCACGAGAGCTCCCTCTATCTGATTCATAACCTGTCGAGCATTAAAACACAACCAATTTGGCTATCACTCAGCTGTATATCACTCCCAGTTCAGTTGTAATAGTAAAGGAAGTCATTTTCAAGATAAGGATTTCAGACCAAGACCACTCAAACCTGCAGCCAAGTGTTGTTAAATCAGATCACTCTCAATCCTTGCTCAAAACCTATCTGCTTCCCATCTCCAGGTAAAAGCTAAAAAACCTGGCAATGCCACGAGGCCCAGGGGCCCTGGTCTAACTCTCATCCCACTCAGATCCAGCCACCCGGGCACCCTCTGACCAGCCAGGGCTGGTTCTCCCCTTGACACCCACACGAGTTCACTCCCCTCTGAGATCTCAAACTACATGCTACCCTCTCGGCTTTCTTTGGCAACTCTCCCCCTCCCACCAAAGCCACTTTCACATACCCTTTCTCGACTTCACGTCTCTTGTAGTTATTTTTTACGATTTAATTCATTGCTGCACATTTCCTCCCTTCCTCTCCCCTCCTCCACTCCAGCCCACCCAACGATGTACCCCTTATTATTCTAGATTGTTCTCGTTTAACACTCAATGATCCTAGGACTAGAGACCTTTCTGGATGAAACAGCACAGAATGCTCAGAGCACGAATTTAACAACAGACAAAACGCCGTTAGGTAAGCACCCAACTGACCAGTTCACAAGGAAAGAAAATGAGGGAAGCTAACTGCAAATGTCCCTTTCCCAAATCATGGTCACAGCTGTAGAGACTCATCTCTAAATTTTAAAGTGTTTTACTTCTATGGGCACACCTCAAAGAACTGGGGATACCGCTCAGACCTCCACAAGAAAGCAAGGATCGATAAAAGATATCAGACTGGCTTTTTTCCTCGGGGCACCTAAAAGTTGTTCTGACTCATAAAGTGTGCAATCTCGTGATGAGAAACTCTGAAATACAAGAATGACCAAAAGGGGACATGGAAGGTGAGCGCATGCTGCTGGAAAAACGGCCCTGCGTGTCCATCAACAGACGAATAGTTAGATAAACTAAGGTCCATTCACACACTGGGGTGCTATGCAACATTAAAGAACCAACAGGAGTCAGCCAAGCACTGGCTAACACGGACAAGACGAGAAGACACTACGCTGAGTGAAGTCAGTCATCACACGAGTGGAACAGCGTATAAAACCACCATTACCAGAAACTAAAGAAAGGGAGGAGACCGCCCATTTAGAATTATTCTTGGATTTTTTTTTCACGGATGAGGGGAGAAAAATGAATAAACATATAACAGACAGCAGACATTTATTAAACTAAGTGGAAGGAAAGAATGTACAATAAATAACCCAAAATATGCATGACTGACTGAAAAACAACACGCTTTGTAAACAGTCACTCAAATCATAATAAAATGGAGAAGAAAAAGAAAAGGGCACTGACAGCGTCGCTGGATGCAGGGTTGACTCGAACCTTCAATGTGTAAAGAAACACAGCGTGGTCCCTGGGAAGCACAACAAGGTTTGCCTGGGACAGGCAACGTGCAGTTTCAGGGTCAGATCCTTGTCTCTGGCAAGACCGGCTGGCAGGACAGGGCAAGGCCCAGGTGCCCTCTTAACTATGACAGCTGGCGGAGGTCTGAACCCCCTCGTACCGTGTGAAGGGAAGAATTTTAGACCGGGTGGCAGAATTAGTAATCAAGGCCAGAAACTGTTTTCTACCTGACTCTCTTATTTTTTTTTTCTACCTGACTTTCTAAGTTCATATTCTTGCACTTGAAAACACAGGGAAATGAATGAGGAAACAAACGTGCAGAAACCAAGAGGATTATCGTTACCGTCCAGCGTCAGCGGCAAAGCTGGGATTACACTCAAAAGCCCTGAACCTGTCCACCTCCGCGCACCTCTCCTTTCTCTTCTTCCCTTTTCTACTTTGGGTTAAGCTCTTTGTCTGCTGAGGCAGCCGACAGAGGATCTACTGTCACTTCGGGCTCAAAAGGTTGGTTCACGAAATATATTTAAAACTAACTTTGACTGTAAAACTTCCACTCAAATGACAAGAAACAATGACTTTCTTCCTCTCTCTCCTTTTCCGCTGGCAGCGTGCCTCGCCTCTGGAAAGACAGGAGTCCTTTCTCCTTTTCTGTCTTTTTCATTTTAACTCTTTTGCATGGCCTACATGTCACTGGCTATACTTCTGTTTTACTGCCTTAATAAACGTTTTGCACTTGTTTTGCTAAATAAAAAAAACACTTGAAAAAGAATTTTTATATATCGATACAAACATTTATACACGTTGTTAGGTTCTGTCGAGTTGAGGACGACTCAGTGACCCTGGCCTATCCTGCACCGTGCGGCAGTCGCCGTGTCAGTCCACCTGGTTGGGAGCCTTCCTCTCTTTCACTGCCCCTCCACCTTTCCAAGCATGACGTCCCTCTCCAAGGAAGAACCTCTCCTAAAAACACGCCCAAAATATCTTCTTTGCCTCCAAGGAGCACACTGGCTGCGTCCTCTCTAGAATATACCTGTTTGTTCTCTTGGCAGTCCCTGGAATATTCAGCACTCTTCTCCAACACCACAGCTCAAAGGCATCAATTCTCCTGTCATTCTTATTCACTGTATACATAAGACACACACACAGACACAAACAGTGACCCTTCCCTCCCTATATACACACACACATACACACACACAAGCACACGCGACATGATTTTAAAACTTACTCATTGATTTCCAGATCCTGGTCATCGGAAGATTCATCTTCTCCCAGGACATTTTCGGAATCTGGTTTCCTAATGAGAAATAACAGAACGGTCCCCACCAGACTGATGACAGTCAGGGCAATGAACACGGTCCTCCGGTCGCTCTCTGCGGGGAAAGAGAGAGGGTGAACTTAAGCACACTCTACCCAGAGAAGCCACCTCCAGTCCTGGAGATGCCAACCAAGCACGGCCGGCAACGGCCTCCTCGTCCCACCGTGTGCTCGCCGAGGGAGGAGCGGAGGCAAGGCTGCCACCTGAGGGCTACGGTACGCGGTCCACCGCCGCGCGTTCCACACCAGCAACCCCGGCAACTGTGAGGATTCGCACACGTGCTATTTCGTTCTGAACGTATCGAAATAACGGGAATAAAACCAACCTGAGATCTGTGTCTTCCCTTGCCAGGCGAAATATATGTAGAGATTCCCAAAGAACAAGCTGCAGAGAGACAGAGGAGGAGAAGCAATTAGGGAATCAGTGAATAGTTTCTCAATCAGTTACTTTCAACCTTTGTGCAAAGGATGCTTTTCCTGTGAGCAAGGTCATTTAAAAACCATCCCCCCTCCCTTTAGAGTAGTGAGAGAAGATCTTCACCCTGAAACCCACAGCGTCCCTTTTCAGCAGGAAGTAGCTAAGAGAATACGCCATCCCCTTTTCCTTATGACTCAGGGTGAAGTCTCTCTCAGGGAGGAGTGATAGGGAATGGCAAAGGACACACTGACAAAGAAGATTAATCAGAACTGGCTTTGACAAGCACTGTGGCAACTGGACAATTAAAACAAACATTCGGATGGCGGGGGAAGAAGAACAAACTGGGGAAGAGGGTAGAGAGTATGGTACAGCAATGAAGGAATGAAAACCCAAAATCCCTGTAAATGTTAATACTAATAAAATTTAATAATTTAAAAAAAACAAAACAAAACAAAACAAAAAACCCATCCCCCTGCCCAAGGTCTCAGCTCGGCTCCTTCTCCTTCTGAGAAATGCAGACCCAGGCGAGCTCTGGTGGCCTAGTGACAAGAAGCTGTACTGCCAATCCCAGAGGTGAACGGTTCAAATCCACCAGATGCTCTGCCGGAGAAGGAGGGACAATCTCCTCCTGTACCACCAGTCAGATCTGATTTGACAGTACACACACACAAAATAAAAAAAAAAAAAAAAATTAAAAAGTTAAAAAAAAATAATAAAAAATTTAAAAAAAAGAGAAATGCAGACCCAGAGGGAACTAAGGTTTCTCATGACTGTAACCTGATTCTCAGAGAAAATCTGACTCACGCTGAGACACGGGATTTACTGCAACTTTCCAAAAGACCCCCTGGAAACAAGCTTAACTACTTTCAAAATCTTAAATAAAATTTAAAAAACCCATATATGTTAAAGAATTTTCAGAAGGACTTACAGAAAAGCCACAACTGCATTTTCAGCAGGGAATCAGACACTTGCTCTAGTATGCTCTCCTCAGGAAGGAATCATTCACTTACGTTCCTGTTTGTAACACAGAACACATCTGCCTTTGTTGGGTCTTACAGAGACCAACGTTGTGGGAAATCCTAGAACAGCTTCCTGAAGAGCCCAGCTGGCACGGGCCTAGTGTCTGCGGGGCTTTCACTAGGGAATACGTGATGTACGGAGCCACTCAGGGCTGACGAGGGGTTATCAGCCAGGTCGTGAGTGAAGTAGCCGGGCGGTGCAGATGAGAAGAGCACTCCACACGGCACCACCACGCCCCTAAGTACCCAATACCGACAGCCACCGAGCTGAGGGCGGTTCATCGGACCGTCCACTGGGGGCTGTCAATCTTTTACAGGGAGAGACTGCCCATCTTCCTTGTGGGAGCAGTGGGTGGGATCGGAACTGCCAATCCTTCAGTTAGAAGCCCAACAGACACAGCAGTAGGCCACCAGGTGGTGGTGGTGGTGGTTACTGGTAGGTGCCATTGGCTCGCGTTCTCCTCTCTCCAAGGAGCTGCGGGTGGATTCCGACTGTGAGAAAGGCTCAGGCTCTGATTAGCTGAGCCACTGGCTAGGGCCTAGACTGTGAGAACTGTCCCCTCTACTAATAGAAAGACACAAACGCCGTGCAGTGGGCCACTCTGAGCCTCCTCTGTTGGCTTGTGAAGCGCACCAAGGCAGCTACACAGCTCTCTCCCGGGAAGCTGCTGTGGACGGAGCCACCAGAGGCTCGGCCTTTGGGTTGGTGGTGCAGCTCCCTACAGACTAGCCAGGGAGGCCTGGGAGTGCAACGGATCAGGTTGGGCAGCTAACAGAAAGGCTGGCAGTTCAAATCCATCAGGCTACTCCTTGTGAGGAGGATTTGACAGTCGGAGTTCATAAAGATGAAGGTTTGGAGCCCCTGTGGGGTAGCCGTGTTCCATTCCAGATGATTACTGCTGTTACTCTTTGGAGCCATCGACTCAATCATGACTCACAGTGAACTTATCAACAGAGCCTGCCCTGCACCTCTGACGTGCTGGGGCCCACTGTGACAGCCACGGTGTCAATACCTCCTCCTCTGACCCTCTACCTTTTCCAGAATCATGTCCTTTTCCAAGAACTGGCCCCCGCTGACGTCATGCCCAGAGCAGAGGGTCACTAGGAGGCACAGTTGACTTGATAGCAGTAGGCTTGTTTAGTAGTGTAGCCCAGTGACAGTCAGACAATGGTAGGTTTAAGTCAGGTAAGCTACTTACCTTTTAAGCCTCTGTTTACTTATCTGTGGAACGGACATAATACCAATTAACCTCAAGAGGTTGAGGAAAAGATTACATGACATTAAAGAACTGGATTGCCTTTGAAACTTTTGTGGCAGGTCAAATCCATTCTCATTATCAGCGATGCCAGGCCAGGCACTAAGACTCCTTATACCTTTTAGGCAATTCCATAAAATGTGCAACCTACAGGACCCACAACAGGAATTTAAGTCATCTAACATAGATCCCTTGAACTTTCCACAAAACAAAGAGCTAAAAGAATAATGACAAAAATCAAAGAAAAGAGTCCCCAAAGGATTATTACCTTGACTGTAAGAGTGCCCAGAAAATGCCACTGTTCCTGCCAATCGTGTGTTCATCTGAGTTGATGGTCAGGCAGTTCCCCTGGGCTGTCCAAAGCACTGGAGTTCGTACATGTGTGTGAACAGAGGAAAGACATTCATTAATGACAGTCAACGTTATACAGTGTCACAAGTGATGGGATGACAAACCAGTTATGAACTGTAAACCTTCACTAAAAAAAAAAATAAAATAAAAAATTCCAAAGTACTGTGATCTGAAGTTTACCAAGATAAGGAAACCACGTGGCTTTCTGTACAAGGCCAGTCATGATACCCTTAGATAAGCCCGTGGGGGAGACTAAGCAAGGGTCAGGAGGTAAAAAACAGAATGCTCACCAGCAGCTGCGATTCCGATGAAGACGGAGGCCGTGTAGAAGGACCAAGGGAAAGGCTGGATAAAAACGGCAATGTACATGCTAAAACGCAACAGGTCAACGCATTACACTCCAACGAGACTCCAATGACAGGGACGACAGGGACACTAAGCACGCCTTTGGCCAGCACCTGGGAGGGTGCGTGTCTTTTGAAAGGGAACCTGTCAGGACCTCTCCAGTTGGAGCGAGGGACAAACACATGCACTCATTCACGTCTGAGCCTTTGGAAAGCAAAGTTTAATGCTTTCATCTGGTGGCATGATGACATTACTGATAGGAAAGGATTTCCTGGGAAGATCTGCACCCCTTGCTGTGGATTTGGGCCACTATTTTCATTAACAGTAAAACAAAAGAAAATAACCATATCAATCATGTGGTAGAAGCTGGGAGACCGATCCACTCAAAAGCCTTCACTCAACTGAAACGAAAAAGCTAAAACAAGGAAACCAACGTGGTGTCACTGAGCAGTCAGTCCCCTGTGAAGAGGACAGTCAGACCCCTGAACTCGTCAGTGCAAGCAGCAAGTTCACAGCTGCTCTGGACTGACAGCATCTAACTACGGAACTGCACTTGGTACCTGTGGCGTTGCTTTTTGTTTTTGGTAGATTTCATCATTAGTAACACATTCCACTTCCAAACCCCAAGCTTCTGCCAGTCGGTCTGATTCCCAGCGACCCTCCCTGGAGCTTTGGAAGCTGTAGATCTTCACAGGAAGAGACTGCCCACCTTCCTCTCACATAGCGGGCTGGGGGATTTGAACTGCTGACATTTTGGCCTAGCAGCCTGCTATTTTTTGCACTGTCGGCCTAGGGGGTAGGGAGCTGTACTGCCAACACAAAAAGTGCTTGGTTCAAATCCACTGTCTGCTCTGGGGGAGAAAGGCGGGCTCTTTTCTCCCATGTGATTTACAGCCTCTGAAAACTGGCTGCAGCGTCAGCGATGCGCTGGTTCTGTCTGCCCCCACAGCAATAAGCCAGGGCGCCTACGTGCCACTCACAATGTTGACATATCTGTAAGCTCATGCTAAAGTTTCCAACACCATGTAGAAGTAAAGGAAGGATTTAAAAAGATACTGATAATAAAAGGTAGTAATAGTGAAGACTAAACTGCGCGCTGGGGAGGGAGGGCTGCTAGTCGCTGGAACTGATGAGGCAGTGGGGGTCTCCAGCGGATGGTGGTGGGTGGTGAGGGATTCAGCTCACATCAGAACCGACTTCCGATGGCGTTGTGAGAGGGGAACGCTGTGCTAACTACTTGTATTTGGTGCCTGAACGGTAATAAACGTGTTTTAAAGGAACGACGGAAAGGTGACGGCACGACTTACCTATAGAATAAGCCACTTGCAAACATTGAGAGCTGGGGTCCTACGATGGCAACCACAGACGGCGTTATCAAATTTGAAGCCGAGAACACGCCGTAAATAATCGCCATGCTGTACGCAAGATACACACAAGGGAAAACAATGTATTTGCAAGTGTCATCTCAAATGTTTACATTTAAAAAATCTAGTCAGTTTAAGGGAGTGCTTGGTGGCTTAGGGATAAGGAGTTACACTGCCAACCCTAAGGTATATGGTTCGAATCCACCAGCTGCTCTGCAGGACAAAGATGGTTAATCTCTTCCTATGGGATTAACTGCCTCTGAAAACCTGCTGGAGGGTCGGCTGTGGGGAGTTCTGAATTGACAGTACTCAACCACCACAGTCATGATTCACACAAATATGAAAACTCAATGCCATACAAAACTTTTCATATGTATGAAGTATTGAAAAGCCTTATCAAAATTGTGTTTGTCTGAATTATTAGTGCTGTTCTAGCACATCATGTTGGTGCTGTTCTGTACCACTGGGTTGGAACCAACCCCCAGCTGACCCTCCGGCGGGCTTTCGGAGGCACTGAACCACATGAGAGGAGACTGCCCATCTTTTCTTGCAAAGCAGCTGGAAGACTTGAACCGCATGCCTCTGGGTTGGCAGCACAATTCTTTACCACTAAGCCACCAGAGCTCCCAGTACCTGACAGTAACAGCTGCACAACAGGTACTATGCCAAAGAGCTCTAGTGGTACAGTGGTGAAGTGCTTGGCTGCTAACTGGGAGGTCAGAGGTTCAAACCCTCCAGCAACTCTGGAAGGATATAAATTCTAAGGTACAATTCTACCCTAAGGTCAGTGTGTATCTGAGCTAAGAACTGAGCCAAGTACTTAATACACATTTTCTTTTTCACCCCTAACCACTTACTATGAAGGTTTTTTCCTCCCCACACTCACTTACAAAAAAGAAATCTGAGGACACAACAGGGTGAAGTAATTTGCTGAGATCTAGACGTCTAGCAGGTGAATGGAACAGGATTCCAACCTCGGCAACCTGACTCGAGAGCCCTAGTCAACCCATCTGCTTCCAAACTTAACCTACAACTCCTAGCAACTGGATGAAATGTCTCTGCTTTGAATAGCAACTGCAGAGCCACAACTCAGTTTAAACAGAATTTATTTACAACCTAACAGTCTCACTTGCACATCATTAATCAACGGTAGAGCCAGCTGTAGTATACACACATCTCACAAAGCAGTGTGACTAAGGAATTTCAAGGGTCCTGAACCACTAAAGCAAATACACACAAATCCACAGTAATCAATTAGCGTCCAAGTAATGGCAGTCCTACAGGAGGAGGGCAAAGAAATGTCTTTTTCAAAAAACGTATTCTTTTTGTTTGAGAAAACAAACTGTCTTTTAAGAAGTAAATGCAGAGTGTTTCTTAGAACCAAGAATGGTGGGGCTTGTCCCACACACTTCAGCTGTTAGAGGAGGGGCCGGTGCCTGGAGAGGAGCATCATGCTGGGGGAAAGTGGAGGGTTGTTGAGGGAGAGGAAGAGCCTCAGAGAGAGGACTGATGGGGCAGCTAGGACAACGGGCTTAACAGGGTAGAGATGGTGAGGACGGCGCACAGGACTGGCCAGGGGTTTGCCCTGCTGGACACAGAGCCGCCGCGAGTACAAGCCAACCTCACGGCACCTGACAGCAGCAAAGGACAAAACCTCAAATTGTCTCGTAGGGGTGTCAAGGCTGCAAATCTCTGCAGAAATAGAAAGCTTCATCCTATTCACCTGCAGCAGCCTGTGGTTTCAAACCAGCAACTTTTCCGCCGGCAGCTCAACATTTAACCCTCCACGCCTTCAGGGTTTTCTCCTGATTGTTGTTATTAGGTGCCATCGAAGCAAAGACCGAATCTGAACCTTGCCTATTCTATGCCATCCCATCATCTCAGGCACACCTGAGCCACTGTCACAGTTACTTTGTCAATCCGTCTTGTTGAGGGTTGCCTTCCCTTTGAATGACTGTGGTTAGGTGTCCCCGAGTCCTCAGTGACCCTATAATGAACGGATCTGAACCCTGTCCTATCTCGTGCCATCATCACCTCTGACACTTGAGCCCACTGCAGCAGTCACTATGTCAGTCCATCCGGTTGAAGGTCTTCCTCTCTCTGAATAATCCTTCACCTTTCCAAGAACGATGTCCCGCTCCAAGGAAGAGCAGCCTTTCCTAAGATCATGCCCACGGTGTGTGGGGTGAAGTTGTGCCAGCTTTGCCTCCCAGGAGCGCTCCAGCTGCACCTTCTCCGAGACACAGCCGACTGTTGTTTAGGCAGACCGTCGGATAGTCAGTACTTTTCTCCAACACCACAACTCAAAGGCACCGATTCTTCTTCCGTCATTCTTATTCATTGTTCAGCTCTCAGATGCATAGCAAGAGGCTGAAAACACCATGGCCTGAATCTTAAGTCTTCAAACTGACATCGTTGTTCCTCAGTAATTTGGAGAGATCCCTGGCTATAAACTTCCCAGTACAATATATCTCCTGATCTCCTGACAGCTGATACCAAATGTGTTTATTGTGGATCCAAATGAGAGTAGTTACTTGACAGTTTCAATCTCTTCTTCACCTATCATGATATTGCCTATGATCCAGCAGTGAGAATTTTTGTTTTCTTGGTGTTGAGATGTAATCATATTGAGGCTGTAGTCTTTGATCTTTTGCAACAAACGCTTCAAGTCCTTTTTCCTTTCAGCAAGCAAGATTATGTCATCTACATAATGCAGGCTTTGGTAAGTCTTCCTCTGATCCCGATGCCACATTCTTCTTCAGAGAGTCCAGCTTCTTGAATGATTTACTCGGCATATAGATTGAATCGGTATATAGAGAATACAACCCTGACACACATCTTTCCTGATTTTCAACCATGTAGTGTGCCCTTGTTGTTTGGATAACAGACTCTTAATCTTGGCATAGGTGTTGCATAAGCATAATTAAGTGTTCAAGGACTGCCTTTCTTCTCAACGTTAGCCATAATTTATTACGATCAACACAATTAAATGATTTTGCATAACTAGTAACACATAAACAGATATTATTCTGACATTCTCTGTTTTCAGCCTGGATCTATCTGACTTCAGCAATGATATCCCTGGGGCCATGGTCTCTTTTTAAATTTAAAAAGTTTATTTATAAAAAAACCCCTACAATGAATGAATGGAAATCCAAAATCTCTGTAAATGCTCATTAAAATTATTTAAAAAGAATTACAACATAAAATACAGGGCTTACAAAGTCATGTTTATACAGAATTTCCAAGAGTTTTAATAAATAGTATTCCTCTTAAAAAAAAAAACAAACCAACAAAAACCTAAAATTTTAGGCATGTTGTCAGGAAGGATCAGTCCTTAAAAATACAAAATGTTGGGAAAGGTAGAGAGAGAAATAGAGGAAGACCTTTAACAAGATACACTGATATAGGAATACAATAATGTACATATAGTGATCAGAAAATAGAGATGATGTGAATGGTCCACTTTGGTTGCACTTCACTGTTAAGTCCTGGCTTAGTGGCACGGAGTTATACTACCAATCCAAAGACAAATGATTTAATCCACTAGCTCTCATGGTCTCTTCTCTTGTCAATACACTGTTCTAGATGTTTTGAGATAATCTTCGGCAATATTTTGCTTACATGCGATATCAATTATATTGTTTCATAATTTCCACATTCTGTTGGCTCACCGTTCTTAAAAATAGGAACAAACGGCTCTCTTTCAGTCAGCCAAGTAGCTGATCTCCAAACGGCCAGAATTACTAGCCAATATTATTTATAAAGGCATCCTGCTGGCACAGTGGTTCAACATTCGGCTGCTGAGAAGTCAGGAGTTCAAAGCCATTACCTGTCTTTGGAAGAAAGATATGCAGTTTGTGTCCTCATTCACACCTGCCTGTGCTCATAAGAAGATCTACGGGGCTGCCATGGGCCAGAATCCGCTCAACAAAGAGATTTATATTTTATTATTTATAACCCCACAATAAATTACTCTTTAGCTTGAATAAATGCTTCAATATCACCTGTCCTTTCAAACACACCTGAAGGTTATGCAAGGCATCTTGTGATTTTATTTAAGTCATTTAGTGTAAAAGCCATTCTGATGTCCCATTACCATCAGAAAAGCAGCCACTGGTGACACAGAAATGAAGCACTGGGCTGTAAATGAAAGGTCAGCATTTGACTTTAGGAGCCATTCTGTTAAAGAGGTGATTGGAAATCCGGAGCCCTGTGAGCTCCTGGCTCAGAACGGAGGACACAGGAATAGTTATTTTTTGTTTTGTCAAATATTATATAAAAAGTTAGGTTTGAAACAGGTAATTAGACTTAAATAAGAGATAATGCTGGAAGAACTGCTGTGATCCAGTATCTACCCAGAGGGAAATCAAGAAACTTGTCTGCATGATGTACGTATATGTATCATATTGTATTTCTGTCTCTACGTACAAAGCATGGGCCTTGTGAAGTCCCCAGCATTGCAGTTTCAACAGCTTTACACGGGGAACTACACCTAATAGCTTGATCACGGTGTATTAATAATCATGAAAAGATAAAAACAGGCACACTAAATGTTCCAGCATCATAGGAAACACCTTCCATTGAGGACTGGGAGTCAGTAATCCTAAGTCAATAAATACTTCACTGCCTCTGTAAACCCCAGAGGGGTTCCGACTCAATGGCACACAACAAATACAATTAAATGCCAGTGAGCTCTGGTGGCCTGTAAGAGGTTGCACTGTCCACTTTAAGGCACACAGTTCAATTCCAACAGCTGCTTTATGTGAGAAAGATGGGTAATGTCCTCCTGCGCAATTTTAAAGCCTCAGGAAACCCCCTGGCGGGGTCAGCTGAGCCAGTTCTGACCCAACAGTACATAACAACAACAATTAAATGCAAGACACAGTGTCAAGTGCTTCACATGCATCATCTGGGTAAGGCTTTTCCTAAAGGTGGCTTGCCTAAAATAACTAGGTGGTGAAGCCGAGATTTCAAACGCAGAGTCTCCATACAGAAAAGAAGTAACCACTACAGGTTGAATCTCAAGGTTTTATTACCTTTCACGTTGAAGGGATTTAAGCAGCTACTGCTAAAAATAAAGTCAATCAAGTACAATACCTGGTATATCCACTGCCATGAAAATCCGTGCTGTTTAAGCTCCTGATGACCGTTTGCTGTGTGGATAACAGATAAACTAATCAACAGTTGAGTTTATGCAAACTTTTTTCCCTACTGAAAAGTCTGTGTCCCAAGTACTCAAAAGCAGAGGATAAAGTGAAAATGGACAGAGAGGTAATGGAAGCAGAAGGTTTAACAACGCTGACAGTGGAAAAGGGACTTAGAACTGAAAGCGCACAGTGGGTCAAAGCCACAGCTCTAACTCTACCCTCAAGTACTACTTAACACAGACAACAAATGAATTAAGCCACTCTCGGAAATCTCAATCAAATCAGAGAAAGAGAGGATACTGTGTAACACTCACACATTAGGAAGAAAAGGCAAGCCAAGCAGTTAGAAACGAGGAATAGACGAGAAAACGAACGAGACCGTCTAGCATGCCCTGTTACATGTAATAAAGCTGTCATTTTCGGGATACACTGCGAGAAGGGAAGGAGAGGGCAGATGTCAACTCACCGCCACATTCCCACAAGTTTGAAAGGCGGTGAACATAAACATAAAGGCAACTCCTAAAATAATGATGTTGAAAAGCTTTTTGGACTCCGGGGACATTTTGGCTCGGCTCTGCTGGAGGCCAGCAGCTGCCCCAAGCTGTCAGATCTCCTCGGGACGAAATCACTGATAAATCCCGACGATGGGAGAAGTCAGATCCCAGAGCAAGGCAAGTCCAGCGGTCAACGCTATGATCTCCGCCGAGAATCCCGGGTTTAGGGTGCAGCTGTGCCCATGGGCAGCGTCAGGGCACCCCTGGGGTGAGAGCCAGGTCGGGAAGAGCTAAGAACCTCGCGGCTCCAGGTGGACGCGGCCGCGGAGGGACTCAGGGGGCCGCCCGGGATTAGGGAGCCAAGGGCGAGCCAGGCGCAGGCAGGGCGGCCCCGCCCGCAGGGCTCTGAGTCACGCGGGTCAGGCGCCTCGGTCACCTGACCGCGGCCGCGGCGCACACCGCGAGGGCTGCTGGGAAATGTAGTCCCGGGAGGCCGGCACAGAGGGCGCGCCGTGATGACGTCTGCGGCCCTCCCGGAAGGAGGGGCAGAACCAAATCTGTGGGCCCGCCCCGCAAGCGGGACAGAACGGGGGGCCCGTGAATAAAAGCAGAAACTACATAAAGGGGCGTGGGGAGGACGTCACGGGGTCTGAGGAGCGCGGGAACACGGGGAAATAGGTGACGGGAGGAGTAGCGTCCAAAAGGGGGCGGGGCTGAGGTCCGAGCGGAAAAGCTGCGTGGAACTCGGATATTGGCAGGGGAGGGCGGGGCCAGATCAGAAGCACCGCCCCTTCCGGTTCTCGGGGTGCCCTCATAGCGGCTGGGCGGCGGAAAGAGCATTTCGCGGGCTTTCCAACCGCCCGTGCTCCCCGCGGTCCCCCTCCCGCCAGCCGTGACTGCGCGCTTTTCGGCCGGCTGGCCTCGCTCCGCGCAGGCGCACTGGGCGGGGGCGTGCGCGCGGCGGCGACGTTACGGGGCGGGGCAGAGCTAGCCAATCAGAGGATTCATTTCCGGGTGGCGCGGGCGCCATTTTGTGAGCCGCGCTATAAACGGCGCCGCTCGCTCCGGCAGCCAGTTGTCGCTCCGCCAGCATCCAGTGCGGAGTGTGCCGTCCGCTTCGCTCCGCACGCCCGCCGTCGCCGCGCGGGAAACCGCCGCCTTCGCTTGAGTTGCTCCGTCGAGGCGAGCGAGCCAGAAGAGCCCCGCCGCCTCCGCGCGCCGCTCGCCCGTTCTCGCCGCCGCGCCCCGGGCCGCGGGCCCCACCTCGGAAGCCATGAGCTACGGCCGCCCGCCGCCCGACGTGGAGGGCATGACCTCACTGAAGGTAGACAACCTGACCTACCGGACCTCGCCGGACACGCTGCGGCGCGTCTTCGAGAAGTACGGGCGCGTGGGCGACGTGTACATCCCGCGGGATCGCTACACCAAGGAGTCGCGCGGCTTCGCCTTCGTGCGCTTCCACGACAAGCGCGACGCCGAGGACGCCATGGACGCCATGGACGGCGCGGTGCTGGACGGGCGCGAGCTGCGCGTGCAGATGGCGCGCTACGGCCGCCCGCCCGACTCGCACCACAGCCGCCGCGGGCCGCCCCCGCGCAGATACGGCGGCGGCGGATACGGCCGGAGGAGCCGCAGGTGAGCGGGGGGAGCGCGTGGAGGGGGAGAAGACGGGGGGCGGGGCCTGCGGCCGCGCGCGGTGTGGGGGTAGCGACCGCGGGGGCGCGGGGGGGCGGGGCCTGCGAACGGGGGCGCGCGGGGCCCGCGGAGTGGGGGGACGGGAACGTGCCGGACCTGCGCACAAAGGCCGCACGTGGGGCGCGGGGCGGGCCATCATGGCGGGCGGGCGGGTCCGCGCGCGCCGGGCGGTCGGTTGGTCGGTCTGTCCGTCGGTCTGATCGCGTCCCCCCCCTTCTTTCCCTCGCAGTCCCCGGCGCCGCCGCCGCTCGCGCTCCCGCAGCCGCTCCCGGTCCCGATCGCGAAGCCGCTCGCGATACAGCCGCTCCAAGTCCCGCTCGCGCACGCGCTCCCGCTCGCGCTCCACGTCCAAGTCGCGCTCGGCGCGCAGGTCCAAGTCCAAGTCGTCGTCGGTGTCCCGCTCGCGCTCCCGCTCCCGCAGCCGCTCCCGCTCGCGGAGCCCGCCGCCCGTGTCCAAGAGGGAGTCCAAGTCCCGCTCGCGCTCTAAGAACCCCCCGAAGTCCCCGGAGGAGGAAGGCGCCGTGTCCTCGTAGAACAATGGTAACGTGGCCGCGGGCCGGGCGGGCGGGCGAGGGCGGGGCCAGAGCCGGGGGCCGTGACCGCGGGCCGGGCGTGAGCGCGCGCGGCCCCCGGGAATGCCGATGACTGTTTTTTTTGTTGCTGTGTTGATCCAACGTGTGCATTTTCCCCCTCTAAAGCTGCGGTCTCCTGTTTGGTAACAGACTATGGGCCAGTATTGCAGATTTTAACTGATTTGGCTGATCCTCCAGGGACCAGTTTCTGTGGGCGTGTATTGCAGCAGGTTTGTCTTTAACCGTTAAAGATGCACTATCCTCAGCGCGCAGGCCAGGTCGGGGCCGCCTGGGACGGCCGGCCGCTGCCAGCACGGTAGACTCGCAGGTATCGCACGGGGTGGGGCAAGGATAGTGTGTCTTTAACTCTCCGATCGTTTGGTCCTGTTTTTTAAAAGGAAAGGGCCCTGAGTAGCTCAGATGTGCAAGCACTAGTTACTAGATGATCTCAGACTAAACGTGCAAACCTAAAAACGTGCCTGGCCAGAAGCGCATTTTCCTACCTCAACGGATTTTTTTTTTTTTAAATACAGCCCTCCTTGTGTTTTTTTTTTGTGGGGGGGTTTTGTTTTGGGGTCGTTTTTACATTTGATTTTTTGTTGGGGTTTTTTTTTTTTTTTTTTTTTTAAATCCACCTCTCCCCCCCCTTTTTTTCCTCTTTCCCACCTTGGTTATTTGACCAAGAACACACACACACAGATCTTGGCAATGCTAGTAGCCTCTCAGACCTCTGAACTGGGCCTTCCTGGCACTGGCAGTGGCTGGGTGGAACCTTCCTGTAATGTCCTTGCCTCACCACAGCCCTAGTACATGCCTGAAGTTCATGTCTGAACATGAGACCTCGTGCACTTTGGAACCTCGCTCGGGACTAGAGAAGTACACTGACCTTGTTTCTCTTCAAACCTAGATGTCTCAGCGAGCAACATAACGGAGGACTTGGGACAAAGGACCACAATACTCAGTCCATCAGAAGAGTCCCATCCCGTGGAACAAGCAACTGGCTATTGGAAAAAGGTTATTTTGTAACATTTGTCTAACTTTATACTTGTTTCAAGCCTTGCCTCAGGTGGCAAGTTTCCACTTTATGTGCCATTTTGTTGCTGTTATTCAAATTTCTTGTAATTTAGTGAGGTGAACGACATCAGATTTCATTATTGGCTTGGATGATATTTAAGGTAAAATTTCATTTGTTTATGTAGTGCTGACTTTTTTTGTTTGAAATTAAACAGATTTGATAACCTAATTTGTGGCCTCCTGACTTTTAAGGAAACGTGTGCAACCATTACTTGCTGAGTAGCCTAAAGCTGTCAAGAGATTGACTCAACATTGCCTTCATTCCTTAAAATTAAAACCTACAAAAGATGGTGTAAATTTGTATATGCTTTTTACCTTCAGACCTAAATGGTAATCTGAAACCCAGATTTGTGTAAAAACTTGTCAGGTGAAGACGTGCGCTGTGCAGGCCTGCTTACTAATCTCTTCTCTTGTGTATTTTTGTGCACTAGGCGCAGTTGTGTAGCAGTTGAGTAATGCTGGTTAGCTGTTAAGGTGGCGTGTTGCAGTGCAGAGTGCTGGGCTGTTTCCTGTGGTCTCCTGGGGGCTCCTGTGTAAAGCTGCCTTGTCGTGCAGAAACAAATGGCTGTCCAGTTTATTAACATGCCTGACCACTGCACTTCCAGTCACCCGGGCCTTGCATATAAGTAACGGAGCATACAGTGAGCACATCTAGCTGGTGATAAATACAGTTTTTTCTTAACCCCACAAAAAGGTGGTAAATCCAATTGTCATCTATGAACTTAAAATATGAAAAAAATGTTAAGGAAAAAAATGGTTTGTAACTTTGTAAGTACTTATAACATGGAGTATCTTTTTTGCTTATGAATATTCTGTACTATAACCATTATTCCTGTAGTTTAATTAAAATTTTTTCTTGGTGTTACCTTTTCTCAGAATGTGTCCTAAGTCTTTTTTTCCCCCTGCTATTTAAGACTGTTTTGGGGGTAACACTGGTCATACTGGTAGCACAAAAGTGAGATGTTGAGTGGCTGGCATGATGTGGAACTATCCCCACAGGAGCACCTAGTGCCCATAAAAATCAGTGTTAAGTTGCTACTTTGCAAAAATAGTTCACTCGCCCCACAACATTCCTAATGGAGCAACAAACAAGACATTTTGTGGGTGGGCTTGTGTTTTTAATTTTTGTGTCTTTGACCCAGCACAACAGTACATTTAGTGAATGATAAGCCAGGTGCCACATGATCAGTTTTGTAACTCTTAAGTTAGATGGTGTCCTTTGCAGAAGAAATGATCAGCATTTCGATGGTATGTCTTCCTGGAAGGGCAGAGTCCGCTAGCTCTTCCTTGTCTGCATCAAAAGACTTGAGAGGAACGTGGACACACCTCATATCCCACTTGTAGAGCAGAGCTTCAAGGGACCAGTCAGCACTAGAAAGAAGATTTTCTTGTAAAGAATGTTTTCCCTTAAACACCTAATTTAGGCTGGAAGTTACTTCTGTCTTACCTTCTAACCTGGTAAGTAGACCAGAGTTGAGCCTTTGGGTTCTTTTCCATCAGGAAGAAGACTGTAGTTAAAATGTCTTCAAAGTCTGAGAAGAAAGAACTACTTGAGAGAAAATTCTGCTTAAGCGCCTCTAAATTTTATGATTAGGGTAAAAAAAAATTACCTTCAGGTTCAAAAAATACATCTGATGCAAGAATAATATCTTGGGGTGGCAGAGCCAGAAGGTCAGGGGATACATGGCCCCATGTTATTCCTACAACAAGGACTTGTGGTAGTTGGTTCATCTGGCAGCTGTGCTGACACATCTCCAAAGAATGAGGTAGTTCTGGGTTATCCGACAGTGTAACCTTTGCACCACATTTTGCAGCCAAGATTCCCGGAAGACTCACCCCAGCTCCAATCTAAAAGTTTGGAAGAGGGCATTTAAGAAAAGCACAACTGCAGAGACCTAGGATCTTAGACTCAACACGCTTAGGCATTGAATGATGAAACTCGATCGCTAAGTGAAGGAAACCTGCCTAATTAAGCTTTTGAATTTGTGATAAGACTGGTTCCTACAGGTATTTTGCAATTAGGAAGTATCACTTTCAGGCTATACACATAGCATGTCTAGGCAAGGTTAGGGATATTCTTCCTGTCAAGAGTCTTCAGTTCCCTAATTGGCATGACCTTCATATTAAAACAGTGCTTCTTAAAGTGATGACTACAAGTTCTTGGTCACTAGTTAAACAGGTATCAGTTGGCTTTCTGTGTCCTAAAACTCAGAATGTTAATAGCCTTTGAGGGAAGGCCACTTGGTAAATTCAGACTTTTTTCAGAAGTAACTTTTCTAGGGATAGTAAACAAGAATCTGGATATTAGGGTTATAGTTCAATGTTGGGCTTCTAATTTATTAGAAGCACTTAAATCTGAACTAAGGATTCTGGGAACCTGGTGCTAAATTTACCTCTAAGATAGCTTTGCCTGGAAGGGCTCTTCTGTTGTACCACAGGTACTGGGCTAGGACCACAGCACAGGGCCAAACATACATTCCATACTGGGGATGCAGCACCTGTAAAGATACAAGTGAATGTCAAGTATTTACTGAATGCCAGGCACCAGAATCAGGAAGGTACATGAGTCCCTGGGAGAAAGATGGGCAATCCATCACAGAAAACTGCTCTTTAACCATTTTATACCTTGCAGAAAATTTGCTTTGGTTGGTAAATACTTCTCCAGACTAAAAAAAAAGCCCCAGGAATCTACAGGTTACCAATTGAAATGTTTGAACAAAGAGCCCTGGATATGCTCATTAGTTTATGCCAAGAAATGTGGAGGACAGCTGACGGGGGGGACTGACCTCGAAGAGATCCATATTTGTTTCCATTCCCAAGAAAAACAGCTAGTAGAATGGAAATTACCGCAAGCAGGCAAAAGACTGCTGATCATCCAAGAAGAGAACAGTATAGTTCTATCTGCCAAAAAGTCAAGCTGGATATAAGAGAGACCATGGCACCAGTAATATTGCTGATGTTAGATGGGTCCTGGCTGAAAACACCAGAAGAATACCTGTTTTAGTGACTTTGCAAAGGCATCTGACTCTGAGTAAAAAATGTAGGGCTAACTGAGGAGAATGGGAATACCAGAAGAATTAATATCTTTATGAAATACATATCTAGACCAAAAAGCCGTTGTCTGAACAGGGCAAAGAAACTGGTTTACAATCAGGAAAGATGTGCATCAGGGCTGTATCTTTTGTCAATACCTATTCAATCTCTGCTGAGCTAATCATTTGAGAAGCTACACCCTTAGGATTGCATCTCAACACAAAAATCCTCACCACTGGACCAAAAAGCAACATCAGGAAGATGGAGCAAAGATTGACCTTGTCACCGATTCCATCTGGAACCACAACCAACACCACTGGTGACAGGAGACAGAAGTACACATAGAGCAAATCCACTGTAGTGACCCCTCCAAAATAAGGTGTCATTCAACCCTTGCTGGATAGACAACAAAGATGGAGCTCTGGTGACGTGTAGTGGGTAGGGAAGTTGTGTTGCCAATGCAAAAGCCAGTTCAAATCCACCAGTGGCTCAGGGAGAAAGATGAGGAATCTCTTGTTCCTGGAGTCAAGAGGGCTGGATGAAACTGTTAAAGGTAATCTTCAAAAAATAAACCCAAAACACAAAGAACATACCCTAGATGAGTATTAAAACCAAACAACAGTTTAACTTGTTAAAAAATTGCAAGTGCAACTTTAAGGATTAGAGAGGAAGCACAAATTGAGATTGTATTCTGAGCACAATGAATGTGGAGGGAACAAGTTGGAAAGGGTCTAGACTGTCTGCAGGACAATATAATCAACATCACTGAAAGTGGAAATGGTTGAATGTGGTGTACGTTTTGCTGTACTATCTTAGGCTCGAATGTAGTGGTCCCCTTCTCAGGGAGCAAAAAATCCTACTGGGGAGACTCAACCAAAACAGGGTAGTCTGAGGGTCAGGAGCCCCTCAGCTTACTCTGAACAAGATGAGGAAGGCACAGGATGAGGCAAGGTTCGGACCTGCAGCTATGAATCGTAATAGGATCGATGGCACATAACAACAGTCTACCCAAAAGCATCTCAGAAAAAAGCCTAGCAATATACTTCCCAAAGATCAGTCACTGAAAAACGCTATAGATTCTTTCCAAAAGGAAGACTGATGAACAGGCCTCAGCTTGGAGAGGCCTGGTGGTGCAGGACTGAGACACTGTTGAAGTTTAGATTGTGAGCAGTTATTGCAGGATGATGGATGCTAAGAGACTTCCTAGGAGACAAGCTGTGCTGATTCCTAAAGTTGGGCACAGTGAAAGGCCTCTGCAGACCTATCACAGGAGTGGGGCTTAGAAAGGCAAAGTACCAAGTAGTATAGTATTGTTAAGTGTTCTTGAAGACAACTCTTAGTGACCCTGTGAACAGATCAGAACCCTCTCCTATCCTGTGCCATCCTCACAATCTCTGACACACTTGATTGAGCCCATTGCTTTGGGCAGTACCAGGGACAAAGTCAGCAGAGCAAAGGGTTCCCCTGGTGGGGTGATAGGGAGAGGAGACAAAGGAGTCAAAGGTGAGCCTTCAAGGTGCTATCCCAGGGATCAGCACCTGAACCTTCTATTGTTGTTTGTTGTTATGTGCCGTCGAGTCGTTTGCGACTCATAGCAACCCCATGTACAACAGCCCTAAACCATGCTCTATCCTGTGCCAATCTCATTGCCTCTGACACACCCATCCCAATTACCCCAGTCACTGAATCAATCCACCTCATAGAGGGTCTTCTCCTCCTGTGCTGTCCCTCTACTCTACCCAGCATGATGTCCCTCTCTAAAGACCTGTCTCTCCTTGCATGTCCAAAGTATGTCAGACGAAGCCCCAGAATCCTTGCCTCCAAGGAGCAGCCTGGTTTAACCCTCTCTAGGATGAACCTGTTTGTTTTCTTGGCAGTCCATTGCCTGACAATAAAAGTCTTAGTGCCTAAAGTATGCTGGGCCCCAGTGCTATGTGCAGGCATGGTGTGAACACAAGAACCCACATCAGGCAGGGGTTCCCAACCTGGGATGTTAGCCACCAGAGAGTGAACAAAGGAAGGCGTCAGACCATAGTGTGAAGAAAAATGGCTTCTATTACTTAGAAAGAACTCTGGTGGCAAATGCATTATGTGTTGCCCTGCTGGGTCAATGGTTTAAAGCCACCCGCTGATCTGTTAGAGGAAACCAGGTAGTCTCCTCTATTAAAGGTTTACAGCTTTGCAAACGAACAATGTGAGTTGCAATGCACTTGATGGTAGTGGGCTTGGTTTAATCTTACAGAAATATTTTCAGGACTAAATTTGGGAAGTAATCCAAAAGGGTCTTTTAAAGGTGAAGGCATCTGAAACTTCAGAAATGGATTTCAAGGCCAAGGACGCGGCAAGCGGAGAAGCCACCCCCATGCAGCCTCAGTGTGCGCTTCTGGCCATTTTGAAAATTATCTTCAGCAGGATCTTGCTTGTAGAGGAAGATGAAAGAAGGTCGACCTGTGTGGAGCTCACTGCCTCACAGCCTGCTTTCAGACAACCTTGGTTTGAGTCCTTGTTCTATTGCTTTTATTACTTTTTCAACCTTGAGTGGGTCTGTTCACCACTCTGGAAGCCCCTTCTCCATTTGTGGATGGGGAAAATAATCATACCTACCGTGAGTTACAATTAGATCACTTGACGGAGAGGAAGGGGGCAATGATGGCCCCATGGTCGCCAGTAGGGCACAAGGTCCAGACTTCAGAAGAGCTTTGGGCCCAGGGAGCTGCCTGCCTCCAGAGCAGCACTGCCAGGCCACTGGGGAGAGCTTCCTGACCCGCCTGGTGGGTATGAGGAACTTGATCTAAGCCACTTTTCTCCATCTCCTCTTCCAGCACACCTGTAAGTAACATCTCCAAAGCTCTTTTTAACTCACAAGTTTAGCCTTCTCTAGGTTTGCTCCCTTTCCTGAACGCTGAGCCTTTTTCCAGAGCCTTAACCCTGAGCCAGGTTCCAGAGACAAAAGGGAAATTAACTGCCAGCTAAGGAAGCCAAGGTGGATGAAGCCTCAAAGCTCAGCCAGCCACTCTCACTGGACTCACACATGCATACAGAGTTGCAGTCCAGAGGGCAGAAAAACGTCACTAAAATATCTTCTTACTGGACAAGAAGGGATGCAGCTTCAACTCAAGACCATCAGTAAAGTGTTAAAGTGGGATCCCCTTCCCCTTCATCTCAATGCCCCTGTTCATCACGAAGCAGCCAGAATCTGCACCCCTATTCTCAAATGGGAAACCCACAAATAAGACAATCTCTTCGTAAAAAAAAAAAAAAAAATTAATCACCATTGGACTATGCCCACCATTATCCTGTGTTCTACACTCCCTGCCGGATTTTTCTCATTTCCTATACCCATTCTCTCCACCCACCAAATTGTGCAACCCTGTGATTTCATCCCTACCCATCAACACCCCTCTGCTCCCACACCTTACTCCCTTGGATCCCCATATATGTTTTTTGACAATTAAAAAAATTTTTCTAAAAAAGAAATGGGTTTCACTATAGTTTTTCTCAAGCCGTTTCTTTATTGTTAAAAAGGCTGCCGTTATAATCAAAACAGCATAACGTGAAAAAGTGCTTTAAGAAAGTCAATGTGTACAATGAGGTTACTACTGCGAGTTTTGTGAATGCCGTGACCACAAAGTAGGGGAAAACCACCAAAGAAAACTTACTCGGGCAGGGAGAGGTGGAATCCTGTCTCAAAACTTAACACAAATGTGAAAGCAGAAGCTCAACTAGGAAGTTCTTCGATAAAATCAAAGGAAACAGCACGTGCCCAGAATGCCATTTTCTAATAGGAAATATTCTATGCGAAGAAGCCCCCTTTCCTGGGAGAATCCTCAAACGCAAGGCGTCTCAAGGCTCCAAACCCCACCCTTTAGCTGTGCGGCCCGACCCGACGGAGGCGGCGGACACAGCGGAGGGTCCACCCTGCACCCGCCGGACAGTGCGCGCTGCCCGCTCGGCCCAGCTGCCACCGCCGGGCACGCACCTGCGGGACGTGGACCTCCAGCGCGTCCCCCTCGGCTCCGGAGCGCGGCTCCTCCGAGAACC